ACTCTGTAAGGAAAAAAATAGGCAAAAAACCCCAAAACAAACACCAACCCATACCCCACCCCACATGCACTATGCCTGGATCGGGAGTTTCAGTTGAGGAAGAAGGAAAACACCACACAACAAAACCCAACAGCAACAAGAACTGGGGAGCTCAAACTAAAAACTGTCTCCAGGACAGAGCCTGCCAGGGAAGCAAGAGCAGAGAAACTGATATGGTCATCAGGGAGATACTCAAACCTCTGCGATGAGAAAAGGCTCATTTTGAGAGTGAAAGATGTCTGCAGAAACATTACCAGCTGTAAACTGCAGGGAGAGGTAATTCCAGGCACAGAGAAGAAAGGGAAGGGTGCATATTAAAAATACAGTATTGGGAAAACAGCACTGGGGATTAGCAAAGGTTTCTGGAATAATGGACAGAACAAAAAATAATGACTTATGAAGAAAAAAAGAAAGACAAGCAAAGAGAAAAAAAAAGAAAAAAGACAAGACAAGAAAAAAAGAAAAAAAGCAAAATTCTGGTCTACTGTGTCAACAGGGGTTATCTGACAAATGTCATCACTTTTTAATTTTTATGTGTTTCTGTCATACCGAAGTTGACCAAGTAAAAACCATTAATTATACAAACTTCTGTGTGATTTCTGCTAACTAAAACAAACAAACAAACAAACAAAAATAAATACTTAAGAATAGAAAGCAGAGTAATAAACTCAAAGCCTCGTATCTGCCTCTTTCTGGAGAGGGGGAAGTTTGAGCAGACTGTTGGCAGCATTTCAGTTGTATGTGCTCACAGAGAAACTTGGTAGTTTAATTTTGGGGAGGAAAAGGATCTAGAAGAATTCTCTTCCTAACATTTCACCCTGATTTGCTTTTGATATATATTAGTGCAATGCCAAAATAAGGGGTTTGCTTTCTGCCTCAGTGTTCCTTTCTGAAACAACTGTTAGTCAAGAAGGAGCCCCACAACATCAGTCAGATGGGAGAATCGTCATGGAAGTATGAGGGGGATGCCAGGCTGTTCCAAGACCTCCTAATTTGCTTTTTACAGGATTAAGAGAACCGAATTAGTTGGAGGGGGAAAAAACAGAAGCAGGAAACCATGCAACAATAATAATTTGATCTTGTTAAGCAACAACAGTTTCCACTGCTATTAAATGACATGAAATATTCTGATGGGGGAGGGTCAAGAAACGAGTGAGGCAGAGTCTGGCTCTGTTCTGTATAATTCCTTTTCCCACCACCCTCCTTGTTGCCTCTTAGATCACCTCACTCATTCTGTGAAAAAAACCCCAGCATTTTCATGTGTCCTCCATTCTGCCACTCACCCAACACCTCAAATCAGCAATGGCATTTTCAGCTCAGTGCTTTGATTTGAGCAGGGGTTTTACTTGCTTCTGTGCAAACACCAGTACGTGTTTACACCACAAAATAAACTTCCAAGTCTTGTGTAGGTACCTTCTACCTGTTTTATATTACCTACAGAACTGTTCTTCCAAGAGAAAAGTAAATCGCTCTTATTTCTGGAACACAGAGCAAAGGCTTCACTGCAACCTGGGATTGACAAGGAAGAGCTGTAATAAAAATGGTTTGGAGAGAAAGAAAGGCCTCCATTTCTCCCATGTGGCAAGAGACCAGACTGAGCATCACTTTGTCCCACTTTTAGATAAATATAACCTTAAGCAGAGGAGATTTTCACTGACTGGGAACATCAGACATGTTCAATCTGGAACACCTGAGCTGCTGAAGGTGCACGAGCAGGAAGCCAATGCTCTCTTTTCCCTCTTGCAAGCCAACCACGTGCACTGTGACAGCAAGATTTCTGGGTTTTTTTGGGGGGGGGCATTTGTTACAAAGCCACCTGAACGCACACACACGGAGAGATGTCAGGGGTCCATCTGCACAAGGAGGAGGAAAAGAGTACGGGGGTGGGGGGGTACAACCGAGAAATCCACAGGCAGCAGTAGCCTCTCAGCACAATAAGAAGGGAAAAGCAGCTGCCCCCACCCCTCGCCCAGGTGCTTTTACAAGCCAAGGCACAGGAGGGCCCAGCAGCCCTTGGCCCCCAAACCCCGCCGCGGAGCCCCAGACACCGGGATGTGTCCGTGCGGGGTCGGGACACCGAGGGGATGAAGGAGGCAGGGGGAATATTGGCCGGAGCGCCCGGAGAACATCCCGGAGGAGCCACCATCCTCCCCCTGGCGCCGCTCATTAGGCTCATCGCCGGCTGCCTCCCTCCGGTCATTAACGCGAGCCGGCATTGCCCTTACCCATGCCCTCGTAAGGACCCTTATAATAACCCTTAAATTAACCCTCATAACAACCCTTACCCGGCCCTCCGGCCGCCTGCTCCTCGTCCTGCCCCTCCGCGCCCGCCCCGTCCATCCCGGCTCGGCGGCGCTCCCGGCCCCACCCGGCCCAGCCCGGCCCGGCCCGGTTAATGCCCCGCCCGGGGCCAGTCCTGCCCCGGCGCCGCCGGCTCATCAAGGACACCTGGGGCAGCCCCCGCACCCGCAGGGAATGGGGGCAGCGTCCCTGGCTCTTCGCTCGGCCTCGTCGGGGATGCTGGTCCCGCACGGAGGGTACGGGAATGCTTCGGATACCTGGGAGGCTGCTGCCCGGGAAGAGCTGGTGGGAACGACCGCCAACAGCCCGCCGTGGAAGCCTAGGTGTTGCAAAAACTCGTGCGAACGAGGCGAACCTCGTTATCTGCAGTGGTGTGTCCGGCTCTGGGCTCCTCGGTGCGAGAAAGGCAAGGAGCTGCTGGAGAGGGTCCAGCCGAGGCCACAAAGATGATGAGGGGTCTGGAGCATCTCTGTGAGGAGAGGCTGTGAGAGCTGGGCTTGTTTCGCCTAGAGAAGAGAATGCTGAGACAGGATCCCATTAATGCATATAAATATCTCCAAGGCAGGTGCCCAGAGGATGGTGCCAGGCTCCCTTCAGTTGTGCCCAGCGACAGGACATGGAGCAACAGCCATGAACTAAAGCACAAAAAGCTCCACCTCAGCATGAAGTAATGGAGCAGCTGCCCAGGGAGGTCGTGGATCTCCCTCTCTGGAGACCTTTTAACCCCACCTGCCATGCTACCCTGTCACCTGCTCCAGGTGACCCTGCATTGGCAGGGGGTTGGACTGGATGATCTCCAGAGGTCCCATCCAACCTTAATGACTCTCTCATTCTGTAATCTTTTCCCGTGGGCTGGCAGGAGGACCTTCCTTTTTTAATGTGCTCTGGCTGTAGTTATGTAGCAGTGCTTCTGGTTCTCCATCAGCTGGGGGTTGCACTGTCTGCAAAGACAGTGCTGGCACGAAGAATGAGCCTTGCTTAACTGCATTCTGGTGCACCAAAACAGAACATCCTTCATCCTCCTCAGGGTTGCTGGCATGGCACGGCACCAATCTCCTAATGTGCGCTTCCTTAATACCTCCTGTCTTTGTTTTAAGGTTCACTAGAGCTTGGAAGGTCCTGCTTCCACAGATGCTTTCACCTGAGAGTAGTTTCACCGTGTTAAACGAGTGTAAGCTGAACCATGTGCCAGCATTTTGCAGACAGTATAATCGGTCTAACCGGGCACCTGGTTCAGCCACCAGCTGCAAGACATGCTGGCTGCAATGTCATTGTGGCTAAAGTGGCATTTAGTTTGCTAACAGCATTCAGCTGACAAAACACAACTCATCTTAGAAGGGATGGGACCTCTTCAATATTAAAGTGCAAATATAAAAATCCCTAGCTGCTTTAGAGGTTCCTGTTTCCCAGCAAGGTTGTGTTTATTTACTAAACTCTGGTCCTAATGTCAGCTTTTTCTTGTGAAGGGAGTAAGACCTGTGCAGAATGCTTTCTTTTATTTTCCTGGAGGAAGGTCCAACAGAGGTCCCCAGGGGCGTGAGCCTTTTTTGTTTGTTTGTTTTTTTGTTTTGTTTTTGTGAGTCACATATCTCTATATATCTACTTTATACTTCTTTATATGAAAAAAAGGCAGGAGTAATAACATTTGATTTAAACAATGTAAACAATTACTTTCTCAGACTCTCAACAAAACTGTTTAGATGTAGTTTATATTTGTACTTCATTGCTGTTCTTGTCACAAAAATAAATTAGTGTGACTGCCCTCTGAGGTTTGGGGGTTTTTTTCAGTATAGAAATACTGAATTTCTTTTGTCTGGATACACTATGGATCAGTCTCCACAGGTTCCTGGAGAAGATAACACTGGCACCTCTCACACAGCGTTCCTATGCCCTGCCTTATTTGTGGATCTTCCTAGAAAAGTATTGGGACTTGTTTGACAAACCCTATGCTTCTGTTTTATACTAATTTTCTGAGAAATCAGGTTATCCACATCAGATAATGCAGAGAGAAATCCTGACTCATAAAGAAGACTGTGATAGGACACAGCAGATGCTCTGTTGATTCCTGTGTCCTGAATGCGCAGTTGGAAGGGGTGCTGTACTAGTTTGATTAAGTTTGTGCAAATCAAAGAGATGTTAAATCAGTTTCAAAAAGCATTTCAGTGCAGGTATGGATTTTGGTGGCAGGATGGTGCTGGAGTTAAAAATTTAAGTAAATAGAGAGAAGTTGAGGCCTATCTGAAATGTAGGAAATCAAAGTTAACCCAGGCACGAGCACTTAGCATAAGCTGACCTTTAAATGTTCCTAAACACACAAAGGCCTGACATCAGGACATAAGGGCTGTGCCTGTGACATGAAGAAGTTAACCTTTGGTTCAGCTAGTTAAACAGCACAGAAGGGCTATCAATGGGAACAGCCTCGAGGTTTCCTATCTCAACACGAATTTTAACAGGAACATACAGAATTTAACACAGATACCACCTTGGGAGGTTGCAAGGAACAATCTGCCTGTTTTTTGAGAGCAGAAGTTGAAAGAGTAAAGAATTCTTGACTTTTAAAATACTGAATGTACATTCAGTAAATACTGAATTACTTACATTTGAGAGGAAAGCCTGAGTAACAAGGAAAGCAGAAAGGTTTTTTTATTTTAACTGGAGAAGTGCATGAGTTTATTAAGACTAAAAGCAACTCTTTTTTTTTTTTTTTTTTTTTTAATCCAGCTAAAATTATTGATATAAATAGGCTGTAATAAGCTATACTAGATACAGTGTAAATGGGATTTAAAGGCAGGATGTTACAGAGACAGGAAGCTGGAAATATGAAGATAACTAATTCTTCAAATATATTAAATGCAAGAAGGCTACACGTTGCTTTCTTTGGTGTATTGATTCTCATACTTGATCTTGCATTGACTGAGCTGAACGCAAACACTTTAACACAGAAACAGTATTTTACACTCGAAGGCATATCCTCAAATAGACAGGTTCTGCACAAATGCATGTAAACTGGACTTAAAACCAGAGAGTTCTAAAAAAGAACAGAGACCCTGGTGCATATTTTGGCTTTATCTACAGTGGCTAAATAATTCAGTGTTCTCCCTAAGTGTGCAAAATGGTGCATGCAATACCACATGAGTGATCAGAGCAAGAGCAGCAGGAAAGTGCCACTTCATTGCATGTGCCTTAGTCATGGTAATTCTGTACAGGGCGTGGACCCACACACAAGAAACATCTTTGTCAAAAGTCACCGATCTACTTTGAGTGGGAGGCAGAGTTAAAAAAAAAAAGCTCATTTCAGACGGCTTAATGGGACACTTGTTCGTAAGAGAGGTGACCTTTGTGAAGCAGATTCTTCAGCATGATACCTCTTATAAGGGGTGAGGGAAATCATCACAGTGGCTTCTGAAAACTTTGCTCCACTCCAGTGGATTTTATCACGCTGTCAAGGACTCTTAACAGCACTCTGAGACCGAGTTAAATTTGGGTGCAATGAAATATTTGCCTATCTAAACCCCAGTAGACCCGCACGATCAAACACATAAATTGCTCTAAGTGGAAATTACGCTGTGGAGATCAACACCACGAAGAATAGTATCAAGAGGCTGTTCAAATGGAAAAACTCCCCTCGACTCTGCTGTGCTTTGCACTTGGCACCTTCCCTCTCAGGAGCTCAGAGCTCTCAGTCTGCTAATACCAGTGAATTTAGCCTCACACCACGCAGTGAGGTAGGTGAGCTTCCCCCCACTTCGCAGATGGGAAAACTGAAGGCAGAACTCTGAAGTGACTTGCATAAGGTCCCCACAACTTTGTCAGTGGCAAAACCAGGAATATACTTTCAGAAGTCCAGATCCCAGACCTCTGTCCGCTTTTAAGTCCCTCCCTACTACCACAAAGCAAGCAATGCATGCAACCTCTACTCCTCCTCCTGCTGCTGCCATAGTCCTGCTGACACAGAGGAAGTGAGTGATTTTTTTTCCTGATTGAATTCCCGCTCTCTTTGGCAAAAAAGCACCCGGTCCTGTCAAAGTGCTGTATTATGCTCTCTTGCAGAGGCATTTTCTTCTGAGGCACAATAGAAAAGGCATGGCTTCCCCCACGGCAGGGAGACTGTACAGGTCCAACCAGAGTCTTTATTTCTTGCAGAAGACCTGCTGCTTGGCATTCTTCACACGCTGCTCCTCCTTCAGGTTCTTCTGCCGGACGTGTTTGCTGGAGATGTTCTCCACGTGTTCTGAGGGGAACCAGCCTCTCTCCCGGTCTGAAAGTTTTACCCCTTCCATCCATCCTGTGGCGTGGGGAGAAACACAACATGAGGGGAAAGAATCACGGTTTTATTTCCATCCTTCCCCAAAAGCCCCCTCCAACAAGGCCCTAAGAGCAAATGAGGCAGATCCCCCTTCAGCTTCCAAATGAAGCATTCTAATGAAGAGCCTCTTTGTCCTCTCAATCCAACACTTTGAGACAAACCATTGGTCATTCTGCTCACCATCGTTGCTGTACTGCATAACCATGATGATGTCTGCCTTCTCCAAAGCCAGCTCATCATTTTCCCGAGCCTTGTAAGTCTTTATGCATTGAACCTGTGGTGCATCTAAAGAGGGGAGGAAACATCACATGTAGTGTAGGAGAAAGCAACAATAAACCTGTGTGCATCAGGTAAAGAGGAGGTGGGGAATAGGGAAGTGCCCAAACACTAAAAAGCCAAGAACTGGAAAGGGACAATACAGGCCTTCATCTAATATGAGGAGATAAAACAGGTAAAATAACTGGCACTGAGGGAAAACCCAAGAGTATCTTCTTTATTTACAAAAAACCCTCAAGAATTGTGCCTTGGAATCGCTCTGGGATGCTCCACCTCCTCTGAACCAGCCCACCCCCCTGGCTGGAGCAGCGGGGCAGACTCACCAGGGCATTCCAGCAGGTCCGGTTCTCCCCGCGGAGGAGCCAAAGCGGAGATCCACCTCAGCTTCTCACTGCTGCAAAACAGCACAGGACTCAGTGTGAGGGACAGCAGAGTGCTGACTGACACGGGAGGGGGTGTTTGCTCACAGCAGGGGTAGCAGAGAAAAGGGAAGTGGAGAAAGGGGGGGTGGGAAAAGGCAAAAATTCCCATTTTTGGTGTGGCGTAACGTGTAAGTATTGCACGGGCGGTTATGATGAGAGGGAAGGAAGGTGATTCCTAAGGAAATAGTCAGAGCAAGAGGATGTTTTTCAAGACCTCTGCTCAGCAGCTGCCTTTGGCATGTCAGCATTTGGGTGGCCGAGGGACAATCGTCAGGCTCCCAGGAGGTGTCTGGCTCTGGTAACGGGATATACTGAGGGTAACCTTGAGCTCTTACTGTGTCTCTGTCCGAAACAAAAACTCTGCTCTCTTTCCCTGGTAATTCTGAAGCAGAAAGAGACGGAAGAGGTTTTTGTTCGCTCCGTGGAGTTTCATCTCACACTTCTCCCCGCGCACATCCGAGAAGGCGGCGTGGTCGAACACGACGAAACGTCCACCCCTGCAGGGAAAGAGGAGGAGCAAAACAAGCTGTGAGTTTTCAGGTGATGAGGGTTACAAAGTGAGTCCGTGTCATTTTCTGAGGTCAGGAAAGCAAAAAGCTTTTAATGAGTCTTCATCTGCCTCAGACACCTCAAGTGTTATTCTTGCTGTAAGTCTCAGAAGGCCAGAGAAGATAAAGAGGGGATTTAATGAAAAGGATAAAAAAATTCTGTCCTGACAGAATTTAATTTGGTAGCTTACAGCTTAAAAGCAAAACCACCACCCCAAAACCCCCAACACAGTGAAACGACTCTCTTGACAAACCAGTGGTTTGCACATTCACCTGTCTCCATGCTGTCCTGTAGGAAGAAATCATTTACCAAGTAAAAGTAGAATAAATGGTTATTATTAAAGTATTTCACATTATGGAGATGGAAGGGTGGAACAGAAGTGTTGCACCAGGGACCCACAAGCTATCTTTTTATATTATCATATGTTGTAATTAAGGGTTGGGACTATCAATTTCCACGTACTTGTATGATACTCACATCAGGCTGGGATAGGAGAGTGACTTGACAAAGGCTGCCACTTGCTGGCAGGCAGAGGGAAAGGACTCTGTCACCAAAGCACAGACCCCAAAAGAGACAGGTATGAGAAGGGGCAGCAAGAATTGTGTTGAGGCACTCACTCCTTCGGCCGAGACAGGAGCAGGCAGTCGTTGAAAAGGTGTAGGTAGATGGGCCGGGTGGTGACTTTCCACTTTGGACTCGGGTTGTTGAAGTCCAGTGCTGTCAACTCACCACACTTCACAAGCCTCCTCGACTGTGAGATGAGTGGGAATATCTGCAGGACAGAAATGAACCTTTACGTCAATCATGTGCAAGCAAACGAGTAACTGTGATTTGGATTTGCATTTTTGCCTTTCTTTTGAGGAAATATTTCATCTCTCCAGCTGGAGAGGTGCAAGTCATGGTAGGCACCTTTATTTGAAGGTTGACATGAAAAACTGGGTAAGGGAAGTGCTGATGAAGAGCTGGTTCAACAGTTCTGTGAACATCAGAGAGGAAAACAAAGAGAAAGTGCAAGTGGCTTTGTGGGGAAAGGCAGAAAATACATTAGGCTGGAGCAAGGCCCAGGGAATGGATGGGCTCACCTTGCACTCAAATTCAATCTTCTGGCTGAGGTAGATCAGCTCTTCAGTGCTCTTCATGCGCTGGACATTTTCATTGCAGTCCTTGATGAGCTGCAAAGGAAAAGAGACCATCAGTGAGGCGGGAGCAGAACTGCCTGGTGGGATCAGTGCTACTCCCAGCTCTCAGGAGTCAGCATAAGTGACAATCTCTTCGGCATCCTCCTGCAAAAGCAGCATAGAATAGAATCACAGAATCACAGAATATGCTGAGTTTGAAAGGACCCACAAGGATCGAGTCCAACTCCTGGCCCTGCACAGGGCACCCCGAGAATCCCATCCTGTGTCTGAGAGTGTTGTCCAAACACTTCCTGAACTCTGGCAGGCTTGGGGCCATGATCACTGCCCTGGGTTCCAGTGCCCAACCATCCTCTGTGTAAAGAAACTCTTCCCAATATCCAACCCAACCCTCCCATGACGCAGTTCCAGCTGTTCCCCTGGGTCCTCACAGAGAAGAGATCAGTGCCTGTCCCATCACTGCCCATCGTGAGGAGGCTCCAGATGCTGTGAGGTCTCCCTTCAGCCTCCTCTTCTCCAGCTGAACAAGCCAAGTGACCTCAGCCACTCCTCATATGGCTTCCCCTCCAGGCCCTGCACCATCTTTGTGGCCCTTCTCTGGAAGGGCTTTAGATTCTCCTTGTACTGTGTCACCCTAAACTGCCCACAGGACTCGAGGTGAGGCTGCACCAGTGCAGAACAGAGTGAGTGTTTTTCCAGCTGAGCATTCTAAGCCTCTCCATACCTACAGCGATCCCCCTTCTTTGTTAAGGAAAATATTCTTTAGATGAAATCTCCGTGGCAAGCACTGCTTTACGTTTGGGACACTGGGGGGGAATGCTAGAGACATGCATTGCATGATGCTGTACAAATTTTAGATAACAAGTTGTCCCAGAGCACTTTAAATCTTTGTCTGTAATAAACAGGAGAGAAGAAGGGACACAACAGAGCAGTGCCCTGTTTTTATTTAAAGAAAGATTTTTCTTGCAAGGACCAGGATGGGAGTTGATAATTAATTAGAGACAAAGGTAAGGAACACAAAGGGCTGGTTAGGAGACTGGAAAAAGTGAGTCCTGAAAGAAGTAGTTTGGTATTGCTGGCACCAGTTCAGCTGCATCCCAGCTGACTCCTGCTTTAGTGTTTTCTGCTCCCAGCTGCCACTGCACCTGAACACCCTGATTTGTTATGGGTGAGGATCAGTGACATGGGCCCTCAACAAGGGGGAGGATCAATTAAAAGGATTGGAACCCGTGAGGATCATCGAGTCCAACTCCTGATTCTATGCAAGGCAAGCTGCCAGTTAAACCATATAGCTAAGAATGTTGCCCAAACACCTTTTGAACACAATCAGGCTTGGGGCCATGACCACTCCCCTGGTCAGCTTGTTCCAGTGCTTACCACCCTCCCTGTGAAGAACCTTATCCTGATATCCAATCAGAATTTCCCCTGACACAGCTTTAAGCCATTCCCTTGCATCCAGAGAGAAGGGATCAGCACATCCCTCTCCTCTCCCCGTCGTGAGGAGGTTGCAGAGAGCAGTGAGGTCACCCTCAGCCTCCCCTGAGCTGAACAAACCTCATGTCCTGTCGCTCCTCGCAAGTCTTGCCCTCTTAGTTCTCTCACCACCTTTGCTGCCCTCCCTTGGACACATCCTAATATTTTTACTGCTGAGCCCCAAATTTTTGACTTGTATTATTGGTACCATCAGCCAAAGCCCCCAGAGCCCTTTCTGCAGGGCTGCAGGATGGGCTGGCAGCCCTTACCTTCTCAAGCGCATCGTAGGCCTGTGTTGCTTGCACTTCCTCCTCAGACCCAGGCCGAGTTCTTTTCAGGATATTCTGTGTGGCAAAAAAGATGCTTTTGGTAACTCAGACAGGAAAAGCTGGACCTAAGTATCAGTGAAGGGCAGGAGGTACAAGGGAACACCAAGATACCAGTCTCAAGGGAAACTAAAGCAGAAGTAGGTTATGACATGTGGAGGTAACAAGGCTAAAAATCTGAGATGCTGAATATAGGGTATTCCTGAAAAACTAAACTGTATTAACTATCCCACAGAAGTTACATGGCATAGGAAGCAACCACTAACTCAAGCACAAATGGGAGAATGCCCACAGTTACCTGCAGGAGGAGCTTGAGGCGAGTGATGCGCTGGAAAGGGAGGATGAGGAAGGATTTCAGTGAGAGGCGCTGGCATACTGGATCACTTTCCAGTCTCTCCAGGACTTGCTGGAACCCTGCATTTCCATTTCTGTGGGAGTGGTAAAGAAAAAAGACACCCAGGCATCAGAGTAAATAAATAACCTCCTTAGTATCAGATTTCAGTGAATGTTGGAGAGCTCCCAACAGTCAGGGTTTGTTCCTGGGGCAAGAGATGCCAAGAGACTGCACCGCTCTGCTGATGAAGAGCAAGTGTGGGTTTGTAACAGCTACAGGATGGCAGTACAGCTGTTACTATATCTTTCCTCTTTCTGTCACAGCCCCCTGAATAAAAGGCAGAAGTGACATCTACATTTCAATTCCTTCTATCAGTACTACACCTTTCATGGAGGCTGTGGGGGTTTGTATTCTTTCCTTACACTGAGTTGTTCAGCTTCAGGGGCTGTCTGGAAATAGCTGCTTCCCATTCCTTGCTACTCTTGAGGGGAGCTGCCTTCCTCCCTTAACATCTCTCTTATGTTCCCAGACACAGCCACTGCCTTCCAGTTGTCCCTGCTGGGCAAGAGCAGTTACATGACTAAAGGTACAAGAGTGGTACCAGCCTCTGGAACAGCCAAGCCCACGTCCTTGAAGAGCTGGGGAAAAATGTTGTAGGCCCAGCAATCGTTGCCCTGGACAACATCCTGGAGGTGCTTTCTGTGTGGAACTGAACCTTCCCTGAAGGGAATCAGCTGTGAGACTACATCTCTCCCAGGCAGCAGCACCCAGAGACCGTGCCTGAATAGGCTGTTGGGAACACTGGCTTCTCCTGGAATCACTGTAGCTTCACTGGCTTTGGGTGGTTATGAAGGGAAGCAGTGCAGAAGTGGCAAGGAAACCTTGCCCAGGACCAGGCCCATGCCTGATTAATGACTGGCTGTGCCGCTCACTGGGTACACCAGAGGAGAGTGGGAGATGTTCCACTCCATCACCCAAAGCAAGAGAGACTGATGGTGTTCCCTGGGCCCAGGATTTTCAATCTATTTTAAAGACCCCTGGATAGCTAGCTGGCTTAAGCTTACTGACAGCAGCCATGGTGTTTGAGTTGCAGAACCACAGAGTGGTTGAGGTCAGAAGTTTCACATGAAGCTATCACTTTCTGGTTCTTTGTAGTCTGGAAACCACAGACCGAAAACCATTATCAGGGACAGTCATTTTTGCTCTCTTCAGCAGAGGGCAGACAGAGAACAGCCTGCAGCTGGATCACGTATCATTCTTTTCCTCTGCAATGCTACGGGAGAAGAGCCTGCAGCAGCTCTGTCCTGCTATCCCAAATGCCACCGAAGGCAAGGAGGTCCCTCCCTGTCCTTCTGGGGCTGTGGTGTGAGCGCAGCCTGCAGCCAACAGCCAGCACCTGCAGCATTCCCCATCTTGGGAAAGAGCGAATGCTCAAGGAAGCGAGAGGGGAGAGGGGTGCAGCAAAGGAGAAAACTTACAGTAACCGCTGGAAGGTTTGCTCCTGGTAGGTCTGGTTTGTTACGTAGGGAAGATACACCCTGCGGAAGTCGGGGGCGTGTTTGAGAGCCACGTCGCACACGTGGAAGGTGAACATGTCCTCCTCAAACTTCTCCTCCAAGTCAAAGAGGAAGCTGCAGCGCGTGGATGGGGCGGCATGAAAGGAGAGGGAAATATCAGCGTCACTGAAGTAAAGCAGGAGTGGCCTCAGGTCCTCCAAACCCCTGGCAGCCCACAGGTAAGCACCAGACAGCTTTGTACTCCTGTAGAGCATAATGTCTGTAGACAATGACTATGTAGGGCTTGGAGTAGGCAAGGAAAAAGCAGAGGCAAAAGCCCTCTATTCTTGGGAGGTCGTTCTTCTAAACACATGGTCAGCAACCAACAGAAAATTAAGACCTCACCAGAATAATCCCACTGGTAGAATGGAGAAAGGCAGCAGCAAACCTTACTAGCTCAGTGATATGCCAAGCCAAGCCTTGCAGGAGGAAAAGCAGAACAGAATCCTACAACATACAGGATCCCCAGCATGTGGGATCATGTCCACATTTTTCATGACTTATGCTCAACTGATTCACATTAGTCTCTGTCAAGTGATGGTTGTAACTTTGGGGTTTTTTCCCCTTCTTTTTTTGTTTTGGTTTTTTTTTTTTTTTGGGGGGGGGCTTTTTTTCGGTCAGGGCTCATGCAGCTGCCTCTTTTGCCTTGTACTTGGCAGGAGCTGCTTTGGGACGGGGTCTGGTTAGTCAAGTTCAGTTACAGCCAAGGAGTGAAGCCAATGGGTACCATTTTAAACACCCTGATCTCTGTGCCACCGCTGAGCCGTGATATCCAGGACTCAGCACCAGGATTTACATCACCCAAAAATCCAGCGTGTACCTGCCCTGCAGGCTGGTAAACACGCAGGGGAGGAGGGGGAAACGTTAGTGCTGGAAACCCTGGGAAGCACCGTGTGTCTGTTGTCAGCCCTGGAAGCAAAGGGGCTGCGTCTCACCTGGCACTGACGTCGCGCACGTCGGAGAGGCGGGAGAAGAGCCACTGGCGCTCCTGGTTGGTGAGCATGGCCTGGAGCTCTGCTGATCGCTGGAAGTGATCCACTGCCACGTTCAGACTGCGCAGGTAGGAAGCCTCAGATATTATCAGCTCAAACTTGGCCTTGGGAGAGAAAATAAGGGAGCACAGCATCAGTAGACTGCACAAGTCAGGGAGGAATCTTACGGAGAGGAGACGGGGAAAAGCGAAAAACCTCCCAGCACGTGATTACAGAAGAGAGGCTTTAGAAGTGAAAGGCAAGTGTGCCATTACATGTAGTCTTCCTTTAGAAAACAGACTTGTGGCATGACCTAAAACCAAAAACTTGCTCTCACTTTATCCCCCCTCAACACCACTCCCACAAGGTTCCCTATTTTACAGAATTCCATGAAGTCCAGCATCTGCATCATCCACATTTTTCTCCATCATGTCTCCCATGCTGTTGTTTTCTCTGTGTCCTCCCATCCACTTCTCAGTTCCTCTCATTTTCCTTACCCAGTTTCTCTACACCATTTTGCTGGACCCACACACCTTCCTATTCCCTCTCAGCCCTGCACCTCACACAGGTCAATTTTGTAAGCTTACACTCTACCAAAAGAAAATACAATTTACTGTAGGTTTATTAACCTCTCTCATGAGTTTATGTGTTGAAGAATGCTGCAAGTCTGCTTTTATATGCTCTTTTGCATTAAACATGCTCAAAACTCTTTATCCAATTCCCATTTCCCCATGTCTGTTTCTCTGAAGTTACTGATACAGTCCAGAATCTGTCCTTCAGTGCTGCTTTCCCTGTAATTTAGAATTTCAGCACACACACTGGTAGCACAGCCCCATAGTGCTTGCAGAGGTGACCTCTGCATTGAACCACCTGCATTCCCACGCCACAGTTTTTGCTCTCTGCTTTATCCCCCCCCCCTTCAGGAGACACTTTCTGGGCTACAGACCACCCATTTACCTTGTTACATCTGTCCCTTACCTCCTGCAGCCTCTGCTCCTCACGGGACATATTGAGCAGCATTCTGCTGCCCCGGATCATGGGGATGTCCTGCCAGAGGGATGCGTTGGACGAGACCGACAGGCGTTGCAAGTACGAGTCCTGGGGAGACAGCACCTTCCTCCGCAGCCTCGGGGAGCTTGGGAAACTCGACTCTATATCCTCTGGGTAATCCACCCTCTTCTGGCTTTGAATGGCCTTGTTCAGAACCACGTCACTGTACTCCTGATACAGCAGTCTTGCTGTGAAGACAGACATGTACATTTATCTCTTCTGTAGCAGCTACTCACCCTCTGCTTCAACCCGGAGAAAACTGTTACTGTCTCAGACTGGGGCAGCTGAATTCACAAGAGCACACTTTGCTGTGGTACTGATGTGAGAAGTGATGGGGGAGAGGGGTCACAGAAGGTACTTACAGGAGTTGATCAGCTTGGAGTGCCGGCGTTTGAAGTTCTCCGTTGTGTCTGCAGGTTTCTTCTCTCTGTCGGGGAATAAGGATTTCAAACCAAAAAGGGTGAATGAAGAGGTGAACTGGTCTGTCACAACAAGGATCTCTCTCTTTCAACAAGCTCAGGTTCCACGTGCTTTACTTAACAAAGGGCAAAGCTTGGCTTGATGGAATCACAGAAATACTTCTGCTGCAGTGGGGTCCTCTTCAAGAGGGGAGACTGAAACACAGGCCTAAGGCATTTAATTATGGTTTTCTTCTCCTTGTCATCAGCTTTGGTGACTCAGAAACGATGGAGTGTGTCAGGTGTCTGTGCTGCATGGAGATGGGGGTAAATTCTAAGGGGCCTTTGAGAGACTTACCGCAATATAACTGTTTCTGAGCTGACTGGTGGCTCCCTGGGGGCCTTGTGAGCTTCCTCCTCTGAAGGAACAGAAGAAACTTCTGTATGTAAGACAATTAGAAAGTAAACACATAAGTCCATTTTTAGAGTGAAGCTACAATCCAGATGATGCACAGACAGCACTTCCCTGTACCCCACCCAAGTGTCAGCCTGGAGCTGGAGTACAGGTGCCCTCGTGACATTTATTTCTGGGTCAGAAGCACTCTAGTTTTAATAGTCCTTGACACTGCTCACACTTTACATCTGTGAGCCACGTTTATTTTTCATACAAAGAAAAAGGCTGATGCTCCAGGCTGTGACAGTAACTTCTGTCTCCAGTTGTCCAAGCAAAGACACTGCCTGTAGGCCCTGTCTGGGTGCAGTCTTTACCTTTTCAGCTTTACTTGCAGGAGATCAATAGACCAAAGTCACTAAGCAGGTCTGAGGGTCTCAAGTCTTTCTTTTGAGGATGTCAAACCCCCAAAACTCTGAGCAACTCTAGGGCAGAAATGCTGAATGTCTAACAAAGTCACTCCTGTGAAGAGTCTTAAAAGGGATGTGGCCTGACAACGAATGTTGTAATCCAGTTCTCACATTTACATGTGGGCATTCACAAACTGCTGCTTGAGTCATCTGTTTATGTCAAATGCAGAAAGCACGGCTTTTGCTTTTGGTTTGTGAGGGATTTAATCGAATAAGGTGTGGAGAAGTTCCAAATATAAATTCACTGGAAGCAGAAGGGGGAGAGAGCCCAAAGTCTGGGCTGCAGGTATGGGTTGGGGTAAAGACAGTACCGTTGCCTTGAATGTTTTAAAATTCAGGACCAAGAATTTACAAGTCAAACACATGAACAAGTTTTGATTCAAGCTCTGCCAAACCTTTCATACCCCTCCACACTCCCCTCCTTTTCCTCTGTGCCAAAAATCCAGCGTGCTGAGGAACTTGAAAAATAAACTAAGCAAGAGTTGAAAAGAAGCAACTATGTTTAAAGCTCATGTCAGGTATAATAATAAAGAACAGACATGCATCCTGATAATAGGTACTGTTTGAATGAGCTGCACAACAACAGAAGATGCGTATTTTCCACTTGTGACATCGGTGATGGAATTCTATGCAAGCTGGGTTTGACAAATCAGCTTTTCTTATCTCTAACCTCAAATCCTGCGCTCACAGTAGAATCATCTTTTTCAGAAGGTCAAATTGGAACCTAAAAGTGTCAGTTGCAAAATGAAGGGAGGCAGCAAATAAACAAGCGATAACAGATATGGGCTACTGAGGGTGTGTGCATGGCTCTTGCCTACTGCTTGGAAACGGGCTGCTCCAGGGAGGAGGCAGGGGGAGCTGGGGGCAGGACAGAAGGGGGCTGCAGGGAATGAGGAACGTGACCAGAAAGGCACAAGAGCAGCGCTAAGCCCTCAGCTCTCATGCCTCTCTGTCACACCGCCTATTTAATTTAATCCTCTGGTTTTGGGGAACTGTAATGGGTTGGGGCAGTGGCAGGGAAGGGAAATGGAAGGGAGGAACTCACGCTGCAAGATGTCTGGTGGCACTGACATCCTCTTCAGGCCCTGGCGGTGCCAGTCCTTGCTTTTCACTCGGCGCCTAATCGGGCTCTCCTGGTTGGCTGCTGGCTCCTGTGCAGCCACCCCCACCTTCTTCTTGTCTGGCCAACTGGAGGATTTTTCCAAGGGTGCATGTTTGGCCACTTCTTCCTTTGGCTGATGTTCCCCTCCTTCCAGCCTTTGCTTGACCCTCCTCTCACCTTCTGTTTTCCCTGTGACTGCCAGTGGAGCCTGGACGTGCTTTGTGTCCACACCCAAGATGCCTGAGGGTTGCTCCCACGGCAGCTCCTCCTCCTGGCAGGTCGTTCTGGTGGTCGGAGGTGACGGAGGGCTAAGCTGGATGAAGTGGATTGGGTTGGTGAACGCCAGCATTGGAAGGGGCTGTGCAGAGTCTCTGCTCTTGGACTCTGTCGATGCTATCAAGCCTTCCAACGAGGGCCAGTTAGGGTGGTCAGGTGAGGATTTTCCGCTTTCTACATCCACGTGCCGCTCTGCTGTTTCAGGGCTGGTGTCAGAGCAGCCAACCAGCGCTTCACTTCCAACAGCAGAAAAGCTTTTGGCCAGCAAACTGACCCCTGAGTCATCGGAAGTCTCTGTATCGTGGGTACCTGAGTCACCGAGATCCCACTCCCCCGTTACTGGAACAAGGCCATCCTTCTCTGCCATCAGACTTTCTCCCTCAGAAGCAGAGGCCACGGAGTTGGAATGGGACCCAGAGGCAGCAGCCTGGAGAGGATGGCTTACGGCAGGGTGAATGGCTCCTGACCTATTATGGTCCACACCACAGTTGAGGTGTGGCCTGGAATATGGCCCAGGAGCCAGTGGCTGGGATTGTTCGGGGGCTGGAGGTGGGACAAGGTGATTTGCATTAAGTGCAGGGGCCTGAGCTTGAGTGGGCCTTTGGACACGGGAAGGAGGCTGAGGAAGCTGTTTGGCATCAGGCTCAGACACCAGAGGTAGGCTCGAGTGGGGCACAGGGGACAGAGGTTGTTCTTGCTGGTTCACAGCAAGGACTGTATCTTCTTCAGAGGGCCAAGTTAGGGTGCTCAGGACACTGGAAATTCTGGATCCAAGCTCTTTTTGGTCTAAACTGCAGTCAGGCTGATCAAACAAAGGCACTTGTTGTGCTTCATGATCCACATTTGCTCCTGTTTCTTTTCCCTGCACAACGGCACTTTTTTGGGGGGAGTTCTGCTGAATTGTCTCTGGGTGGTTCAGGGGAGTGGAAGTCCTTCCTGGCGTTTGGGATGGTTCCAGAGGCCCTGCAATGCTAACCACAGACCTCCTATCCCCAGGAAGGCTCCCTTCTAAAGGAACTACAGAGAAAGAAGATGGGCCACTGAGGTCTTCCTGAAAGCCTTCCTCGGAAGTAAGGATTTCATGGAAAGCCTTGGCCTCCCCTGGATCTGTACTTAGGACAGCAGTTTGCATTGGTGTTGGGTCCCACACCTGTGTGGGAGCAGCTTGTCTAGGTGGCTTCCCTGCAGAGCCTGGCAGCTCGTTGAGGCTGGTGCCAGGACAGTCCTGGGGGGCCACAGAGGCTGCTCTGGCACCCTCCTCCTGTTGGCCAGACGCTGAAGCCACTGGGGTGAGCTCTGAGGGTGAAGCTGGAATGAAGTGCCAAAGCTCAGCTCTTCCTGTAGCATCTCTGGGATCAGGTGGCTCCAAGTAGTTAGTACCAGAGGAAGGGTGTGCTGGAACAGAAGCCTCTGGGTTCTCTGCACCAGAAGGTGCTGCCACTCCTCCATGGAGCGGTGCCTCTCGTTTATCAAACCCCTGGACAGCTTTTCCATGCCCATCATTGCCCAGTCTTGTCCTGTCATCCCAGTGAGCTTCTCCAAGATCCTGACCACCGATGGAAAAGCGGCCAGAGTCTTCCAGGTCTTCTGACTGGTCAGACACATGGCATGTGTGTGGAGCTCTACCCCCTGGGTTCAGGTTGTTTGAAGACAGAGGTGCCTGACATCCAGAACCTGCTTCTGTGACATGAGCTTTCAGCAGCACATCCTCACCAGGATCCACAGAGACAGGTTCCCCAGGAGGAAATGCTGATCCCCTTTGCTCAGCCAAGGAAACATTCTCCAAACCACACATGTCCACCTTATACCTGGGAACAGAAGACGTCTCTGACCCAAAAGCTGATGACAGAGCCTCTGCCTTGAGCTCTTCCTCCAGTCTGAGCTCTTCCCTCTGCAGTTGTTCCTGCCCATTTTGTTGCTTGTTTTTCTGATCTTTGGGCTCCAAAGATTTTCCTTCTTCGGGCAGATCCTGCTCTTTGCACTCCTTCTTCTCCCCTTCCTGCTGAGGTTCAGATGCTGCCTCCTCCTCTGCTGGCTCCTTATGCTGTGGAGCACTCCCTTCCTCACTCCTTTTAGCAGTGTTCTTTACCTGGAAGGCACTCTCTGCTGAAGGAGCAGGCCTCCCCTCTGTTTTTCCGTGACCATCTTCTAGATGAAGGCATTTGGAAGCAGGTGAGTTTTCTTTAGGCACCGTTACTGCTGCCTGGTCTTTGACCGTGCTGGTGTTCCTTGTTTCCCCAGCTGAGGTGTTTCCTTCTGCTTGCAGTGAACTTACTTGGCTGTCACGTGTTAAGGTGGAAGACAACTGATGGGAAGAGGAAGGCTCTGCATTGTCTTCCAAACCCTGGGGTGATCTTAGGCTTTCCTTGGCATCTTCAGAAGTGTAAGGCTTAGCTGTGTCTCCTGCTGCTTCCTCTGATGTAGGCTGCTGGTCAGGTGCTGGTGCCACCTTCCTGCTGCTTTGCTTCTGCTCTGCAGCACCATCAGCCTCCTGCAGGGAATCCCTGGAGCCGCCATCCAGAAACGGTTCGGCCTTGTAATGTCCCTCTGAAACAGTTTTACACACCAAAAAGCACTTGGGTGCCTCCCTCTGAGAGGAAGCGGCATCAGCCGAAGGAGATTTTGGTTGCTGGGCCTCGGGCTGTGAGCTGTGAAAAGCCAGTTCTGCCTGGCATTGAGCAAACTCGGTGCTGAGGTTCACAGCCTGCAGGATGGGGCTGCCAGGGGCTAGCTCATCCTGAGCTGTGCTGTGAGAGGAAAAGTCCTGGTTGCTTTCCAGGCCAACTGCCTGTAATTGCTTAGGTTTCAGAGGATAACCCAGCCCACCCTCCTCTGAAGGCATTTCTCCTTCCCACTCCGAGAGTCCCTTCTCAGGCTCTGCATCCCCTTGCTCCCGTTCCAGTCCTGCTGGCGTTTTTTGCACAGGGTTAGTAGAGGGTCTGCCCAGCATCTCTGCTGCTCTCCCTGGAGCAGGAAGGCAGCCCTCGGGAGCGCTGAGCTCTGCTCCCCGTGCAGAGCTCGGCGGGCCGGCGCTCATTTCGGCTGCTGCGTGAGCGGCATGGCGCTCTCCTCCAACCGCTGTAGGATCCCAGGCTGCCCCAGGGGTGCTGCTGGCTCCTGGGGGAGCGGTGCCTCCCTCACTGCTTTCTTCAGACTCCATCAGTGACACATCCTGCTAAACACAAATGCATTTTCCCGTTACTACAGCAGAATGATACAATCGGTCTAATTCACTGGTTCTAGTGCAGCTGAGCAAAAAAAAAAACCCTATAACCCAACCCACATACCTAGTGGGTGATAAGGTTTGGGAAACAAATACAAAGACTGAGAGTAGGCAAGCACCTGATGTAAGCTTGCAGTATGAGTAACACCAAAATAAAACCATATTTTGGTTATAAAACCATAAAAATACCTCTTTTTAGTCTTACATGCAAGTCCAGGAAGTGACTTTGGTCAAAGAGGAGAGATGCTGATGTTTCTGTCGTGGCTGCAGTGCGACTTATGAAAAGTGAGTTATCTCAGACCCAAAAGGGGATACCAGAAGGCATTCAGAGAACAAGAAAATGATCAAAAAAAATCTCCATTAAGTTTTGTGGGGCCTCTCCTAGTTGAGTCTTAAAAATCTCTGTGATTTCAACAGGGAAAGGCCTGTTCCTTGGAGCTGATGCTTCCTTACAGACCTCTGTGTATGTCTGGGCAACACAGGACCTTATTGCAAATAATCACAGAAACTGATTAACAAGACATAGGAATGTAACGATTTGATTAACAAATAACTAGGACATGACACAAGACACAAGATATTTGAAGGCTGTAAACCACATGGGTTGAGAGGAGTAACTCTGGTATGTGTGGACATATCTGCAGACCACAAAGAGAAACTACATCATCTTTTATGGAGGGGGAGGGGAAATGCCATCTCAGGATTGCTGGACAGTTTCCCAAAGGATATAGTGGAATTTCCCATCCAGTGTTGCATTTGAAGTTCAGACATGACAAAGCACTAGGGAATGCACATTTGGGATATGTCTCTGAAAAGAACAGAAGAATCTGATTCACCACTATTATCTTTCTGCCTTCTACCTATGCCGTGACACACAATCCCTACCTGAAAAACCATGAGAAAGAGACAAACCCTCATGGCTCCCTTCCCTTTCCTTCTACCTTTGGGACACATTCTCTAGCAGGTCCCCTTGCAATTTAGCCCTGAATGATCTGCTGCAATGTGCCAGACATCCCCCTGAATAAACCTTCAGTCATTCTCCTCCTCCACCTGTCTTACAGCTGCTGAAGCTTCCGGACACAAATCCATAGTTCTGCACCTTTTGGTCAGAGAAACCATTCCACATTTCTTCAGGTGAAAAGCCCGACAGCTGTTTAGGGACCAAAAGAAGCTCCAAGGCCTGGCTCTGAACCATTCACAAAGCTCAGGCAAAAAAGAGGTTCCCATTGTTCCTCAGCCCAGATAACCAAATCTACACACCTTGTCACTCTCTGGCATTCCTAATTTCCATACAGCTTTAAGACTAACATTTTTGTCCAGAGTTTCACCTGCTCTTGGGGGGTGGAATGTGTAACAATTTGAACTTGGGAGACTCAGAGATAAAGGAAATTCTCTGTGCTGAAAGAGGAATCTTTGAGATCAACAGTGATTTCCTTGTGCTAGAATGGCTCTGTAGTCACAAGTAACAACCTCTGATCCCACGCAGAAAGTAAAAGCAGTAAGGGCATAATTACATTCTGAACTAATTGTCCCAGTTAGCTCCCTTACGTCAAGTGAAGCAAAACACCTGCTCTGAGTGCAATGAGCACGTGCTCTGGAGACAGAACTGAAGTATGAGATGAACCCTAATCACAGGGATTGTCATCACAGAATCATAAAATGGCTTGGATTGGAAGGGACCTTAATGATGATCACTTTCCAATCCCCCTGCTGTGGGCAGGAACACCTTCCACCAGCCCAGGTTGCTCAGAGCCCCATCCAACCTGGCCTGGGACACTCCCAGGGATGGGGCAGCCACAGCTTCTCTGGGCAACCTGTGCCAGGGCCTGCCCACCCTCCCAGGGAGGAATTTCTTCCTAATATCTAATCTGAATCTCTCCCCTTTTGGTTTAAACCATTTCCCCCAGTCCTATCCCTATCGACCCTGTAAAAAATCACTCCCCTTCGTTTTTACAAGCCCCCTCAGGTACTGGAATGGGCTCTAAGGTCTCACCCAGAGCCTTCTCTTCTCCAGACTAAACAGCCCTAACTCTTTAAAAAAAAAAAAAAAAATTAGGAAAAAATTGAGTTAACTCATCACTTAACTTTGTTCCTGTGTATTTTTTCTCAAATTTAGTCTTTAATTTTTGTTTATATTGAAAATACTGCCTTTCTTGCAAAACCAGGCCAAAACTGGGATGTTTCCGCAATTTGGATTTTCCCCTTCCAAGTGGTGAGTAGTTGTAAATAGTCATAATTTCAACAAACGGTATATTTCAAAGACATATGTCCATTCAGGAAGTTCCCACAGGGCGTCCACCACATCTTACTGCTGTCAGCTGGTGCTGAACTACTTGGGTGCTGCTAAACTGCCTTTCCAAGCCTGTGGGAAGCTGCAGGACGGTCAGGAAGAATCTCCAGCACAGACACTGGAGGGTTTGGCAGAGCACAGAAAGCAGCAGGGTCATAAAACTTGTGAACAACTACCTTGTCCAAGGCAGGATCAACTTCAGTGTCCCCAACAGGTACATCTAAATGCACCCCCTCCTTTAACAGAGGTTTCACAATCCCATCAGATCGCTCTCGTGCTCCACTGCTCTCAGCATTCCTGGCTGCCTCACCTGAGTCTCTCCTGCTACACAACCACAAAAGTACTACTTGTCACACCTCACAGGGACAGTTTCCAAAAAAGGGCTCCCCAGGAGCAGGGAGACTGTTTAGGGATTCAGGTAGTCTTGGACACAAGATGATGGCTAAAGAAGGTTTATTACTACTAAAGCCAGGATGGCTCATGACCCTCAAACTCAAGCCCACACTCTCTGAGGGGAAGAAGAAGTCTTGCTCACTCTGCTGATGTACACAACACTGAATTTTCTCTTCTTAAGCTTAAAAACCCAGGTTCCACTTCCATGGCTATGTTGCAAGGGGATTTGGACAGGTTTAAAGCTGCATTTGGAGCAGTTCCATGACAATACTGGGAGACAGGGTAGAGGGAGGTGCTCAGCACATCAACACTGGAAGCTGCCAAGTGAGATTTGTCTCATCACATTACTGCCAGGTGTTTTGCACACCTCAGGGAGAGCAAGAGAGAAGCTTTGGGAAGTGAAGCAAGAGAAGGAGCAGGCAAACTTTCTGCAGAGACAGTGGGGGAGGAATTAAGCACCTAGTCAGGGAAACAGTTAAGCTCCTGCTCGAAGGCTGGGTGCACCGTAGCGAAAGACGCAGATGTCTGGAGCACGGATTTCATGGAGATGGAAGAGGAAATAATAAAACAAGACTGACAGCACCTGTAGCCTACATACAAGAGCCCAGTAATTACCAGAAGAGAATGCCTGTGGAGCTCTGCCACGTTATGCTCCTACTGCAGGGCAGCTCCATCAGAGGAGGGCCCAGGAGACCCCCAGGAGCTCAGCGAGCCACAGTAAACCTTCCATCAGCATTTTCAGTAGGGCCAAAACCATGCCAGACAAGCACACATGAGCCTATCTAGCAACTGCCAGCTTCTACCAGGCTACACAAGCTCTCACAGATCACTGTTTCCACTTTTGGGGCTTACTGATCTTTCACATCTCTCTCTGGATGAGATGTTGAGCTTCCCATCGTTCCCTCATGTGCTCTGCTTGTGAAATGAGGTGATCTGATGTGCCCTGTTGAGACAAAGCCTCCCAAGAGGGCCTGGAAATCGCAGATATCAGCTCACAGGCACCTAAAACTAAGTGACTCTGGGTGCACAAACCCCCTGCAAGCTGGAAGGGTGGGAGGGAGCAGCTGGCCACATGCCAGCTGTGTGAAAACAAAGGGGCAATGCTTGGCCCCGCTGCAGTCAGAAGCACAAAATTGGAGAGGGGAAGGGTGCAGAGAGCGGGCAGGCAAGCAGAACAGAACAGGGAGCGAAAGCAGGAGCGAACAAAGCAATTCCGGCGATGATGCACACATCCATCCACGGCTTTCCCAGATTACAAAAGGCACCGTGAACGTTGTACTTCCTTCCAGTGCGGGTTAATTCACCTGGACGGAGATGACAAACACTTCTGGTTTTAAATAGAAAATACCTCACCTTCCCTCCCCCCCCCTCCTCCAGCAACCGAGAGAGGAGCAACAACAAGTGCTATCATGCACAGACAAGCCCTGCAACCAGCCAGGAAACGAGGCTACGCACAAGTGGGGCCCTGAGATCCTCCTCCTCCTCCTCCAAAACCGGGGAGAGCCGTAGCTTCCCCTCTGCCACCCTCGGCCTCCCCGCGCGATGCCGGGAGCCGCCCGGCCGCCCTCAGCCCCGCTCCCCATCCCGCTCCCCTGCCCCAGGCACCAGGGCAGCCCACATGCCCAGGCTGCTGCAAACACGCTCCCAGCACAGAGAGTCCTGCCCTGCGATGCCGGGATGGAGCCGCTCCAGCAGCCAGGGATGCTCCGCACCCGCTGGGCAGCTGCTCGGTGCGTCCCGAGCTCTTCTCCACCGCATCTCCTTTATTACCTAGAGGCAGCAGTGAGCCTGTGCCCACGGGAAAGCCATTCACAGCAACCAAGGGCACTGATACTAAAACAAAGGCCTTCCCAAGTAGTCCATCGTTTGGGCACATCCTTGCTGGCACAGCCACAGCTTGGTGTGGAAACGCCAATGCCAGCCTGAAGTGCTGCAGCTGAGGTGGGAAAGAGCTCCATGTTGGCTCTAACACCCACCCAAAGCACGAAAAAGGCCACCTGGAGCCTCTTCCTGCTGTTTCAGCTTAGCTTAATCATCTCCATCACACAGTTCATGTACACTTTAAAAGGAGATGAAAGAGGGGAAATCTGGGTTTGATACTAGGAAGAAATTTTTTACTGTGAGGGTGGTGAGACACAGGAACAGGCTGCCCAGGGAGGATGTGGGTGACCCATTCCTGGAAGTGCTCAAGGCCAGGGTAGATGGTGCTCTGAGCAACCTGGTCTAGTGGGAAGTGTCCCTTCCCATGGCAGTGGGATTTGAACTAGGTGATCATTAAGGTCCCTTCCAACCACGTACCATTCTCTGATTCTGTGAGTTGGATCACTTGGGAGCAGCCCAGAGCCAGCCTTGTCTCCTACACAATCCAGAGCTCAGTGTGCAGGAGAGCACCCTCTCTCCCACGAGGCCATGCCTTATTTGAGTTCGGTGAGACACCCAGAAAAGGGGTCGGTGCAACTGCGCTGAGACAAAGCTTGCCTGCCACAAGCCTCAATTTTTATTTCGACACAGCTACTCTGGCCATGTTCAGGCCAGGTTTCTCAGCTGGATGTTTCCTCCATGTGAGAGATGCCCTCTGCAAAGAAACAGTCCCCAGTCTTCACACACCACCCCAGGCTGCTCTATCTCTGTACAACCCATCGAGGGAGGTGAAGAAGTGGGGTCAAAACTCTTGAGCTCAGGAAGAGATTACACAGGGCACTGGAGATAAGAATGAAGGAGGGAAATAATGTTACATGGAGTCAGCTTTGGACCACAGCAGGACTCTCTCTTTGGAGAGCAGAAGGAGCTTTCTAAAGGAAAGGATGCACAGAGTAAGAAAGGTGATCTAAAAGGCACGTGCCCAAATAACGTAGAGATTACTGCTGTAGAACCAGGAAATCAGGAGCTGCCTTGAGTGTCTTAGGCAGGGGAGAACAAAACAAACCTGCCAATAGCACCCAGTCTCCTGGAAGATGCACCTGAGCTGCTACTGAAGCTTGAGGAAAGCAAATGAGACCTCCTGGTCACACCACTGCAGTCTGCCCGAGTTTTAACACACCCAGTAGCACATCTCACCAGCTTTCACTCAGGATACACTGAGCCTATTAATTATCTAATGACTCACTAATTGAGGGAAAAAAATTAAGGATAACTTTTCTACATTTAAGTAGATTATAGTATTTAATGCTACCAAAAAAATAAGTCAACGAAACTCACTTTGGGTAGAACAAAATTTCAGCTTGGAAATCGCTGCTGGACATTTGGCAAACAGCAAGTGAAGAACGTGGCTTGGATTGCACACTGCACTTCCCAGAGGTGCAATAAAAGTGATTCATTCTTAAGATAAAATGGGGTGACCTGTATAGCAAAAAACTCAGTGCACTCTAAGCAGAGCTTAAGTTTATATTCATAGAAGTAAAAGGTGAGCCTTGGTATTCTGCAGTCTTCTCAGTATGAGAGTGAACAAGAACAGTTTATGATTCTCACTGCTTGAGCTTAGTAAAAGACTATTGACACCACTAGGTGGATAGCACAATTCCCACAGGGAAAACAATGTACCAAGTCACTGCAAGTTGCTCCCTGGTGGGGACGGAGAGACAACCAAGAGAAACATCTGGGGCACAAAAGGACTTCCCAAATAACTTTCCTACGACTTTTTTTTGTGCAGCAACATGGTGTACACATTCCTAGATGGTCGAGGAGTTCCCAGTTCCTCTCTGAGCAGAATGATTCAGGACCTAAAGGGGAGAGACTCTCCAGTCAGAAGCAGAAGTTTCACAGCCTCTCACTGCGCTACAGAAGCGCGAGCCAGAATCCCACGCTGCCGTTTCTTGAGTCCCAGATTAAAGAATGCTAATGTTTGCAACAAACCATTTTT